ACTCTGTCCCTCTTACTCTCTGGAACTATGTATCAAAGCTTTGAATATTCAAGTCATGTATAACAGCTGTATGATAACAGAATCAAGAATGTGACGGCCTCAATTCATATAGCTGTGTGAGATCTTGAGGGGGGGGAGTTATAGTACACGAGGGTTGAACATGTCTGGATGTCAGACTTCAAGACATCCAGTATATTCTTTGGGAAACTATATGAGGTTCAGAGCTTTAAGCCGCTGTAAATCAGAGTTCCCTGTTGCTTTGTAACCTAGACCTGTAAGATAATAGGTAAAGGCTGTTACTTGCCCCATGACCAAACAAACCTTCTCAACAAACCAGAAGAAGTAAATTTTTGGACCATCGTTGTCTAAATGAAAGATATTATAAAAGAGAATTACTAACAATGGCATCCTAAGCAGAGTTACACCCTTCTAAATCCATTGAAAGTTAGTGGGCTTAAAAGGGTGTAACCCTGCTTAAGATGGCACTTAGTTCATTAAAAAAATTCTGTGGCAGAAGCTGGCTTCAAACGGAGATCTCCCAGGCTCAATCTGAGCTGGTGCCTGGTTCCAGAAACTGGCTGTTACTGCCAGGGCTCAGTTGCAGAGCACGTTAATAAAGACTGTGCCCTTGAAGATGTGCAAAGTACTTCTCCCACCAATGAGTCACCATAGTCATGACAAGTTAAAACATCTCTGAAATTATTGGGTAGACTTTGCGAGTCAGAATGTGTGACTCTCAGGTTGGCTTGATAAGCCCAGCACCTTTTGATTTAGAAATGAAGCACTGGCAAATCACCTGATCCATACATCCCGTGACATTTGAGAACTATGTGCCCATCTTGTGTTTCTTTGATAAGCAGGTCGGCACTACTGCAAATGCTTCCAAGTAGCTTCAATAGCCTCTTCATTGACTTAATTCTATCACTTCTACCCCCACCCCCATATTCTGCAAACACTTTCCATCTCCTTATTTAAAGCATTTCAGTCTTCTAAATACTTATACGTGTTCTGTCCTGTCACAATAGAAGAAGAGTTGGTTTTTTTAGACCCCACTTTTCTCTACCCCTGGTCTACAAATGCAGCCAAATGAGGCGGTGATGAGGTGGCAGGGTACTGAGGTGGTAGAATGGACTGTACCACTTCAGTCTATAGTCAGGAAAAATCACATTTCAGTGTTCCTCCATGTAAAAATTCCCTGCAAATAATAAAAATAGCACATTAGGGAACAACGCTATTGCCTAGCCATTCATGCATTGTGTTAGTTTTCCAGTTACAGGGAATCAGTCATATAGGGGAACTCTAGAAAATGTAAGTCTTTCCCTGCAGTCTGAAGTGGCACAGTCCATTCTTTCACCTCAGTGCTTTGCCATGTCATTACCACCTAGCTATATCTATAGACCACACCTCAGAAATCAGAGAGTAGTGGACATAGAAGGAGAGTTTTCAAGAGTGTTTGCTTCTTTTCTAAGAAAATCCACAATGCCTGGGGGGACCCACATTTATCTCCAGCTAGCTGGAAAGGGAGCTGGAATACATAATGGCTGTCCAGGCCATTTTCATTCTAAGTTTCATGTTTAAAGCTAGTGTCTTCTTGAGTCTTCCACTTCCATCTGACATCATACATAGAGATGGGCACAATCCGGAAAAAATCAGTTTGTGTCAGTTCATGGTTTGGGGTTGAACCAGTAACCAAACCAGGAGGTTCGTTCGTGAACTGAACTGGTTCATGGTTTGTGGCCCCACAAACCCTGTTGAAATAGACTGCAGTCCCTTTAAATGGGGTTTGTAGAAAGTGCAAAAAACAGCTGAGTGGTGGGAACCAGGCTGCTCCATACCACTCAGCTGTTTTTCATGCTTTCTTGTGCAGTCCCTTCAAAGCCCTGCTTTCTACTCTATCTGTGAACTGCCACAAACTGCTTTAAAAGTTTGTGGAAGTTTGTGATGGTAAACCCATCATGAACTTTGGTTCGTGAACCACAAACAGGGCAAGATTTGTGATGAATTTTGCTTCATGGCTCGGTTCATGCCCACCCCTAATCACACATCAGTTTGAGCCTTGCACAGACCTTGCTGAGCACCTGTGGCTGCTTGGAACATTCCTGAGTCTCAGCGACAGCTTTCAGCAAATCCAGCCTGCCTACTGCAAGTTTGAAGCAAATCCCCAAACTAAGTGAAATCGGAGTGCTTTGTTAGGGAGGTTTTGCACAGCTCTACAAATAACTCCCATGTGTCAAGCCATCTGTTGCTCTTCCATACCACTCTGTCCCTCTTACTCTCTGGAACTATGTATCAAAGCTTTGAATATTCAAGTCATGTATAACAGCTGTATGATAACAGAATCAAGAATGTGACGGCCTCAATTCATATAGCTGTGTGAGATCTTGAGGGGGGGGAGTTATAGTACATGAGGGTTGAACATGTCTGGATGTCGGGCTTCAAGACATCCTGTATATTCTTTGGGAAACTAATCTATGAGGTTCAGAGCTTTAAGCCGCTGTAAATCAGAGTTCCCTGTTGCTTTGTAACCTAGACCTGTAAGATAATAGGTAAAGGCTGTTACTTGCCCCATGACCAAACAAACCTTCTCAACAAACCAGAAGAAGTAAATTTTTGGACCATCGTTGTCTAAATGAAAGATATTATAAAAGAGAATTACTAACAATGGCATCCTAAGCAGAGTTACACCCTTCTAAATCCATTGAAAGTTAGTGGGCTTAAAAGGGTGTAACCCTGCTTAAGATGGCACTTAGTCTAGATCATTAAAAAAATTCTGTGGCAGAAGCTGGCTTCAAACGGAGATCTCCCAGGCTCAATCTGAGCTGGTGCCTGGTTCCAGAAACTGGCTGTTACTGCCAGGGCTCAGTTGCAGAGCACGTTAATAAAGACTGTGCCCTTGAAGATGTGCAAAGTACTTCTCCCACCAATGAGTCACCATAGTCATGACAAGTTAAAACATCTCTGAAATTATTGGGTAGACTTTGCGAGTCAGAATGTGTGACTCTCAGGTTGGCTTGATAAGCCCAGCACCTTTTGATTTAGAAATGAAGCACTGGCAAATCACCTGATCCATACATCCCGTGACATTTGAGAACTATGTGCCCATCTTGTGTTTCTTTGATAAGCAGGTCGGCACTACTGCAAATGCTTCCAAGTAGCTTCAATAGCCTCTTCATTGACTTAATTCTATCACTTCTACCCCCACCCCCATATTCTGCAAACACTTTCCATCTCCTTATTTAAAGCATTTCAGTCTTCTAAATACTTATACGTGTTCTGTCCTGTCACAATAGAAGAAGAGTTGGTTTTTTTAGACCCCACTTTTCTCTACCTTAATGAGTCTCAAGGCAGCTTACAATAGCCTTCCCTTACAGTAGCCTTCCCTTCCTTTCCCCACAACAGTCACCTTGTGAGGTAAGTGGTACCAAAAGAGCTCTGAGAGAACTGTGACTGGCCCAAGGTCACCCAGCAGTCCATGTGGAGGAGTGGGGAATCAAACCCCTTCTCCAGATCAGAGTCCACTGCTCTTAACCACTACACCATGCTGGCTCTAACAGCCAAAAACTAAGAAATCAAACCAATCTTCATATAAATCAATACCTGATCTACAGGTTCAGACTGTAGACATGGGTACTAAAAAGGTAAAGGTTCCCTTGCTCGAAAGCCAGTCAAATCCGACTCTAGGGTTGCGGTGCTCATCTCCGTTTCAAAGCCGAAGAGCCAGCGCTGTCCAAAGACGTTTCCGTGGTCATGTGGCCAGCATGACTAAACACCAAGGCGCACGGAACACTGTTACCTTCCCACTGAAGTGGTACCTATTTATCTACTTGCAATTTCTTGCTTTCAAACTGCTAGGTTGGCAGGAGCTGGAACTAGAGATGGAAGCTCACTCCGTCATGCAGCAACTCAGGTCTACGTCTAGGCAACATGGGTACTAGGTACATCATTATTGTAAAACATTTTCTTAAAGTTTCCAACTTCATGGTGGACCCAGCTAATTTAATAATGGAAAACTATATTTTGTTCTGGAATTAAAAAAACAAACTTTAAGCATAAAAGTATGCAGAAAGAAGGGACAGAGCATCTCCCCAAAAGGAGCACGTCATTATTTGTCCCTCAAATAGACAATGCTCACAATCAGTCTATGCTCCACAAGTAATTAGACAAGCAAGTTTCCAGCCATTAACAGAAAGTCAGGCTTTCTGTCTTGCAGGGAAAAAAACCCAGTAACATTTACTCAGGAGACTGGTAACATTTTTTACTTGTACAGGTATTAGCTCAAAATGAAATGAATGCCAAACGTTTTAGACAATCATCTCCCTGCTAATCCATTGAGGATATGAAAAGCATTCATCAGTGGCATTAAGCTGCACAAAGCACATAAAGGAAATCTAAGGATGATTCTTAATCAATATGAATGTGTGTTGCTGCTGCTAATTCCTCCTCCTTGAATAGGTATCTACTAAATTGCTTTTTGCTCTGCCAAAACTGATCCAATTGTCAAGGAGCCACCTGAGCCACTATTGTGGTTTAACACCATTTTTGAAGAGATGCTATATTTGACAAGCAGTTGTACAAAGAGCACTGAATGAATTTCACTTAGTTTTCATTTTCATTTAGTTCCAGCGCTACATCCTGACCTCGGCAACCTGCTCATCCCCGGATTCTCTGCCTGTATCTGTTATCGGCCATGTGATCTGATGAATACATTCCATAACATCCTTCAGTCAACCTACTGAGACCCCATTTTGCATACATGTCTGAATTCTATGCCACAGATTATGATGTAGAACAGGCCATAATGCCTTTGTAATCAGAAAAGTTTTTTTTACTCTGCTTTCAAGTTTTCAAGAAGAAACTGAGGCTTTTGCCTGTGAGATGAGGACTAGCAGCTGAAGAAGGGCACTGTTTAGGCTAAGGGCTTCATCCCCATTTTCATATCATTTCATATCATAGTAGATACACCAAGTCAAAGAACCTAATAGATTGGTATGAAGCCTTACCTCTTGTCCAGAGAACAGGGGAGGGTCCTTCCAGTGGAAACAAGTGTCGAGTCTGAGCAAGGCAACTTCAAAGAGTGCGGCTTTAACAAGAGCACTCCCGCCCAACCCACCACCCCCAAGCCAGATGCCTAGCTGTAGGAATGCCAACAGGGAACAGCTTGGAATGCTAAACTTTGTGGCTATTTTGGCAGTGTAGGCCGAACCCTCTTGCGCAACTCTTTTCTTCCCCTCCCATGAGCCCATATAAGCACTTGCTATTGTATGGCCTCCGAGAACTGCTATTTTAAACCCGAGATATCCAAGTGCCCAAGAGTCTGACACAAGCCAGCCAGCTGTCACTCTCGAGAGGCCTGAAACTCTGATATGGATCATGTGTGTGTTTTGCCCCACAGAAGGCAAAATACAGAAGGCAGCTAGCAAATGAACTTCAACACTTAGTTTTGTTCTTTTGCCCCAAGACTTTAATTGGGTCATCAGAGGCCCCCAACTGCCTGAGCAGCTGCTTCTGCAAATGGGAGGGAACAAAGGATGGAGCTAATTTTTAAAGAACCTGCTTAGAAAAGCAACCATAAATCTGGAGTTTTATACCAACACTATTGGACTGGAGACCAGAGAGGTGACTCTCCAAAGCAAATTGTGGTACTTAGGTCCCGGTCACACAGGCCGTAAAATGCGGGGGGGGGGAGCGTGGCAGTTTGGCCCGGAGCAAAATAACGTGCGGCCGCCCGATCACAGGTCCCGTCAAGGTCCCGTGGGTAGGGGCAAGGTGGCGATCACACGACGATCCTGCAGCATGGCAAAGAAGCGGCGCAGCGCGATCTCACCAACGGCATGCGCGATTCTGCAGAGCAACTGAACTTTCGCTTTCCTCTTCGTGCGCATGCGCCGTTGGGTGCTTGTGTGCATCCTGTGGAGACTTGGGGGGGGGAACCTGTTTGCAACGGGACATGGGCAGGTGCTGGATGCCACGGACTACCACCGGAAACGCGATCAGACGCCAGCCCTTGCCCCGCGGTTTCTGGAAACTAGTACCTCGGAGGTACTAGTTTTTAACTCCGCATCTTCGGCGGGAAGCCTTGGGTTTGCCATGGGACCTCTACGCTTCCCAGATGTTGTGGTGTGATCACACCCGGAAAATCCGCCTATCATCCGTCTCAGTAGCGTGGCTAATGCTCTGTGTGACCGCAGCCTTAGAGTTTTTTCCTGTCAACTACACAATACCTTGTCCTTAAATCTAAATTCCAGTTAGAAGAGAACTTGAAAAGAAGAGGCTGACCCCTGAATCTGGAATTCTCTTATCTTTAGAGCTGACCTCTAGATCAAATTCTGATCTAGATTTTGCCTCTGGCATCTCGCTCTCACACACTAATTTATGTGATTAATTTCATCATTTCCCAAACTTTCTGCCTTCAAGGAAATCTTTTCAATATTGACTTGTCTGCCAAGGAACAGTGTGTAATAAAAGATTTGGATGCATTTCTGCATGCATAGTCCGTTCATACCAAATGCAGGCCAGACCTGCGAGCTGTGTTCCCTCTAAGCTGAGTTAGAGTGAGCTAGCTCACAGTTTTTTAGCCTCCAGCTCACACAATTTTGTCTTGGCTCAGGAAAGATGGCTCCAGAGCAAACTAATTTATGCAGTGGCCAAATTAGTCACTCACAACTTTAATGCCAGTAGCTCACAAAGTAGAATATTTGTTCACAAGACTCCACAGCTTAGAGGGAGCATTGCCCGCGAGTCCTCTTTATTGGCCTATATCAACGCCTAGGCCACTCCAGAGCACTTTTAACACTCTCCTGCAGCAGGTAGGCAAGAGAAAGCTTATGCATCATTTCTGATATTCTCATTGAGAAACACTTGATCAACTTCCAAAGGATCCCAGGATCTCTAGAACACACTTTGACAACCACTGACTTATGCAAAGTATGTTATGACTGACCTTGTTGAAATGAATTATTCATGGTCTTCTCTCTTTTTGTCATCCTAGTGTTGATAATATTTCTTACAAAATTTTATCCCGCTTATGGCAGCATACATAATTTTCCTTCCTCCATTTTATCCTCACAACAGCCTTGTGAGATACTGTCAAGGGCTGAGAGGTGCCAGTGCCCAAAAGGGATTCAGTGAGCGTCAGAGCCGAGAGGGGATCTGAACCTGGATTTCCTAATCTGACATTCCAGCTGCTACACCACATTAGCTATTTATTATTTTTGTCCAATTGAGACAATATTGACTTGGCTACAAGATCTGGCTACATTTTACATGCTTCACAACAATGCACTGTAATGCATTGTATGTGGGCTGTCTTTGAGGACCTCTAAGAAACTTCATCCAAAAAGGGTACACTGCTGACACAGCCAGACCACGGAGACCATATTTTCCCTGTTTGTAAAGAAAAGTATTGGATACCAGTTTTCAAGATATTCAGTCAAAAGCCCTCTCTGATAAATCTCTCTTCTCTGCTTACATTGAATGAACTGTAATTACTCCTTTTCATGCTGTATTGAAGGTTCTAACATTAATTTATATCTGTTAAGATAAGTGTGATCTTTAGATCTATATTTGTATTTATCTTTTGCTGTACTTTGTTGTTTGCACTCTGTTCTATTGTCAGTTTGTAATATTGCTCTATTGTTCAATAAAAAATTAAAGCTTTAAAAAAAGCCTTCTGTGATCTTGGTCCAATGTGCTTGAAAAAACATATTCTCTGCTTATGAACCTGCTCCTCCACTTATGAATCCATTGAGAAATTCTGGAAAGTCCCTCCTCTGGGAACCCACAACCTACATCTGAAGTGAACTGGGCAGCAATAACCGGCTGGTGATGGCAGCATCGCTGCAGAAAATTCTTGTTCTGAAAATTTGCCAGCAGTTTCTTTAATGGCATTCAGGCATCAGCTGGAAATATGGCTTTCCCTTTTCATTGTTATGCTGTTGATAGTCTGTTGAAATGTTCTGTGTGCCCTCAATGATGTTTAGTGATCCTGGTTGCATTCTATCAAGTTAAGATTTAAGACTGTTATTTCTATTTCTATTTTGGTACTCACACTATTTATTTGTGACATTTTACTTTGTAATATTTTATGATGGTTCTAAAACTTTTGTAAATCACTTTATGCTTTAGAAAGAGGGATAAAAGTATTTTAAATAATATGGCACAGATTTTACACATTTTACATAACCCATTTGATTTCATTTCATAATGCTATGATAAATGTATTCCTTCATGTTTTTCTTCCCACCTCTTTGTAGACTCTTGTAATTCCTTCTCTGAGGACCTATTCACAGAGATGCAAAACTTATTTGTTTATTAAGAGAATTTTTATGTTGTCTTATTTAAAACTCAAGGCACCTAAAACTCAAGCATATCATAGATGCAGGGGAAATATGTCCTGTTCCTGTGATAAGTATTCATGTGATCTGACAGCAAAGCCCAGTGGCACCAAAAAAATGTTAGAAATACTTTGGTTCTGAAGTATTTTTTACACATCAGATTCTGTTAGGCATAAGAAGAGTCTTGATAGGATGGTGGTGGGAAGTGCCATCAAGTTGCAGCAAACTTATGGCAACCCTGTAGGGTTTTTAAGGCAAGAGACAAACAGAGGTGGTTTGCCATTGGCTGTCTCCGCTTGGTGACCCTCCACTTCTGTGGCAGTCTCCCATCCAAATACTAACCAGGGCTCACCTTGCTTAGCTTCCAAGTTCTGATGAGTTCAGTCTAGCCTGAACACCAAGTCAGGGATACCTTGACAGCATAGTCTTAAAAATAAGTAGGAAAATGATCTAATGCCTGATATTCACTGCTTCCATGAAAGTAAGAAACCTAAACAGTGAGGCAAATTATGTACAGACGAAAACCAGCATCTGCACACAGAAGAAATAGGGCACCTTTGCATATATTAACTTTATTCTACTAGTAATATATGGATTGCTCATGAAAAAGTTCAGACATAGTTCCTTATCCCTGATCTTTCTACTGAGATGGATTAGACTATCAATGGCTATTAACCATAATAGTCTATCAATGGCTATTAACCATAATAGATCCATGGAACTTTAGCATTCAGGGAATTATTCTGTCTTTCACAGCCTGCTCAAGGAGCTCTTGGAGGCTTTTGACTGACCACTGTTGGAAGCAAGGTGTTGGACTAGATGAACATCTGATCTGACTCAGGAGGGATGTTCTTCTATTTTCAACAATCTAAAGCAAAAGCATTGAAGAATAGTCAATGATAGAAAACTTCTTGAACCAAAGTGATATTTATTATGAAATACAGTGAGAGCCAAATATCCCCTCAACCACTGAATCTAAAATTAGGTAAATGTAGCCAAATAAAATCAAAATCCTCAGCTCAAATTAAAATGACTTTCAATGCATTGCAGTGATAAAAGAGCCTACTGTCCCAACATACTTCCAGATTGTCATGACTAAGTCCCACCAAAATGGGCCTCAGTTATGATTAAGGGACCAAAGGGGGGACATTTGGAAAACAAAGCAAAAAAAAAAAGTTTTCTTCCACAAAAAAATTCCCCCAGCAATTTTAGAAGGGCCTTCTTGGTCATTTTTTTATGGAGGGAACAGCAGATAGAAGCCCCCACGACACACATTCAACAGACAGTTCCCTGATCCAGGCATTCTGACAGGGGTGACAAGCACTCTATAGGAACCTCGTTCCAAACTGTTGCAACATTGTAGTCATTTTTGTTCCTTCAAATTGGCCTTCTTCATCCTTGCAACACCAACACTGGTATGTAGCCTGTCAGATATGGCCATGTGATGACATCACTGAAGGCAAACAAAGCTAGCTGTGGAGCGATACATGTGGACACTGTTATGTTATTCATCATGGCAGGTGCATAAGTACCATCCAATGATTAGGTGGTATAGATTTCATATCTCCAGGGTTCCTGATAAAGCTTAAACATTTTGGTATTTGGGAGTTAGAAAATGCACCTGGGAAGAAATAAACTGGGTAATATAGTTTCTATGCCATAAGTATCAACTTTCCCATCCACCAAACAGAAACAATATTTTTTTAAGGCACCAAGAGACCCCATCTGTGAAAAGGCACTGGAGGCAGGTTTGGCTGATAGATGTTCTTTTCCAGATGAATGGCCTTTTGGAAGGGAACATTCCAAAGCCAAGGGAAGCAGGAGAATTTCAAGTGGTCCAGGCCTTTGATTTAAATGGAGATAAATTTTCCCCAGAGCAGCTTGCTGTGTTACATCTGAAAGACACAAGGAAGCATTTGGCTAGTACAGAAATTGTTATGGGAGGGGGGTGAAAGACCTTTGTACCTGAAGGTACAATGTTCAAAACCTATCCTAGCTTTGGACCTATATAAGCACCAGTTGACATATATTGGCCCTGGTCACACTGGGGGGAAAGGCACGGCTAAAGTGTGGTTTTTTTGAGCCGCATCAAAAGAGAAGCGCGGCAGCGGGATCAGACAGTTCCCCCCAGCCGCCACACAGGTCCTCCCCGGCATGATCAGATGCCGGTAGGAAGCCACAGACCGGAGAGCGAGGCAAGCCCACTGCGCATGCGTGTGCATGCGCAGTTCGGCAGGACCTCGCATGCTGCGGGAGAGACGGGCACGCCGGCGATCACACAGCCGTCCCTGCAGTGGATTTTCTGGTAGGTACTAGTGTTTTCTAGGGGTTTTTTTAATCCACATCTTCGGCCAGAAGAGACGGATCTGGGACGGGTGCACGCCGCTTCCCAGATGTTGCGGTGTGATGCGCCTCCGATCCGTCCCTCTTGTGGATCTAATCCTCCTGTGTAACGGGGGCCATTGTCATGCTGAAAGTATGTGTTTCCAATATTGCAATGGGAAAAATAACATCTGTTCCAGAGACTTCCTGTATAGAAAGTAATTTGTCTAAGCCAGTACTCCCAAATCAAAAGCCTGGGAAGGTGAGCAGAGTCTATACATGATAGCCTCCCAAAGTGCCCAGCCTATATTTATCTTACTTCTGGTCAATCTAACAGTTTGGCAGTAGCATGGTCAACATGAACTGAATTTACTTACTTACTTCATTTATACCCCAACCTTTCTCCCCAGTGGGGACCCAAAGTGGCTTACATAATTCTCCTCTTTTCCATTTTACCCTTACAACAACAACCCTGTAATGTAGGTTAGGGTGAGAGTGCGTTACTGGCCCCAGGTCATCCAGCAAGCTTCCATGGCAGAATTGGGATTCAAACCTGGTTTCCCCAGATCCTAGTCTGAAACTCTAACCACTGCACCGCACTGGCTCACATGACTGCACTGAGTATGTGAGGAAGGAATCTCATCATTGCTTGTTCACATCCTGAACTTCATGTAGATGAAATGAAGCCGCATTCTCACAAAAGCATTTTGGTACTCATTAGGAACTGGCCAAGTCACTTCATGTCCTGATTGATCTTCTTTTGCTCTTACCCTGGTTTCCTTTCAAGAATCGCTGGACCCTTTCCTCCACTAACTTTGCTGTGCAGTGTTCTCAGGTCTCCGAGTATCCTGCAGAAAGGAATATCAAAGGCTTTTAGAAGCATTCCTTCAATAGACAAGCTGTTGGCTAAATATTTTGTGATCTAAACTACAGAAAGGGCTTGAAAAAGAACAGGGGTTCCGACCACATCCATGAGGTCTGAGTGAAATCTGGATAGCCCATCTACATATTCAAGTATATTTAGAATGGACTTTTAACATTATCATAAATAACCCTGATTACAGGAATAGATCCATGGCAGTTGTGCAGATTCCAGAATGATACAGCCATGGCGCCTCTCTGGGAAATCTCCCATCTTCTGTGGAAAGCTAGCAAAGGACTGGGGTTTGTTTGGGGAGGAATGGATATGGTAGATAGAAGAGAATAGAGGGAAGGGAACCAGCTTTATACTAATCCATCCTAAAACAGGTGCCCTTGATAATCCCCTCCCCCCAAGAATCTCTCTTGTTCCAAAATCAAATAAGCAAAATCACAATGCCCTCCCTTGGTATGATAGCTTCTGCTGAACAGAAAGCAATTGGAGCAGCTCTGTGCAAGGCCCCTCTGAGCTGTCATGGGCACTTGATAAATCAGCATGCTCATACCTTGATTCCTTCATCCTTGCTGGGTTCCTGAGATCGGCTGATCCACAGATTGATGCGAGATGACACTCCTCCTGGAACTGTCAAACCCTCCTAAACCACAGAGGAGTATACAGCATAGAATTGTAGAGTTGAAAGAATGTCATCCTGTTTCTCCCCCTATGTTAGATCTTCCAAGTATGACAAACATTTTAGTAAACAAGAATCTGTTCAGAAAGTTACAAGGACTATGGAAAACCATCCATCAGAATTGCAACATAGTTAGATAAACACAGAAAACACTGTGTTGAAATAATAAACACAATATTCACATGTACTTATAGCTAAATATATTTGCTTTTTATACACAACATCAACTCTAGTGTATTGTAAACACTTTCAAACTACAACATCACATTTCAAACACTTTCAAACTAAGTTATATAACAGGAAGAGTCCAACTGTCTTCTTCCTGATGGAGGATAAATACCAATGTACAGTTATTGAAAGCTGGGAAAGATTGAAGGTCAAAGAAGACAAGGACAGCAAAGGATGAGATGGTTAGACAGTGTCAGAGATGCAACGAACATGAAATTGAGCAAACTTCAGAGGACGGCAGAAGACAGGAGGGCCTGGCGGGAGCTGGTCCATGGGGTCGCGAAGAGTCGGACTCGACTGTGCGACTGAACAACAACAACAGTTATTTGTACCGAACAATGCAGCAACCTATTGTACATTTCCCAAGTGATGATCCATCAGGTAAAGCTAGCAGGCAGCTTGTATTTCTCACTGTGATGATTCAGCTTAGCAAGCAAGCCTAGTAGATGTATTTTTCCATGAGGTGATTCCGCTAGCAAGCAGGCCTAGCAACACGCCTCCTGGGCATAACCTGTGTGTTTCAAACAAATCTTCTTCAGGCATAAATACAATACATATCATAATATAATATAAATTCAATATCCTTACATAGTACCTTGTTTTTCCTGGTACTTGCTAAGCTGAATCATCACAGTGAGAAATACAAGGTGCCTGCTAGCTTTACCTGATGGATCGTCACTTGGGAAATGTACAATAGGTTGCTGCATTGTTCGGTACAAATAACTGTACATTGGTATTTATCCTCCATCAGGAAGAAGACAGTTGGACTCTTCCTGTTATATAACTTAGTTTGAAAGTGTTTGAAATGTGATGTTGTAGTTCGAAAGTGTTCACAATACACTAGAGTTGATGTTGTGTATAAAAAGCAAATATATTTAGCTATAAGTACATGTGAATATTGTGTTTATTATTTCAACACAGTGTTTTCTGTGTTTATCTAACTTAGCCGTGTTCCCTGTGTGCTTGTTGCTATGTAGTTAAACAAGCAAAGCAGAAGGCCCTTGTTCTCTTGCAAGAGATTCCACCTAAATTTGGAAAATTTAGTGATGCTGGGACTCCATCCTGCACTTTTTACCAAGGCACCAGAATCACCAAGACTGTACCTGTTCGTCCAATGTTTTGAAAGAACACACACACACACACACACATCTTTTCCTTTAAAATGCTAATTGTGAGCAAAGAAGCACTTCAAATCACAAAACCAAGTGGATGTTGCAGGGATAAACCCTTTCGTCCTTGTTTCCATGGTTCCAAGGCAAACTGAGGCTACACAGGCCTATAATTTGCATTTCATAGTGAGACCAAGACATATGATCTTTGTATTATCTGCTTCAGACCAGGTTGTTTCTCCTCTCTTTCTAGGTACCATATACACACATAGAGGCATACTATTTATGCAATTTTAATAGCAGAACTGCATCTGGTAAAATCTATGGCACCCCAATTAGTGCAGGTACTTGAAGAGGCGTAATGGAATTGCCAGAATATTGGAAATACCACCGTGGTTCCACGGACAGAGAAATAGCCAAGTTTTCCCTCACTGTCCTTGTTTGCACACCAAAGTTGTGCCAAGAGTCAGGTCATCAAGGCCATTGCCCTATACTGGACAGTGTGAAGGTTCAGAAATCAACAACCAGGACCAAGACAGTTTCCCTCCCCCAGCACTTGGACTGGATAACCTAAAATTCCCAGTTTTGGCTACCTTTTCCTATCCCAAGGTATTGCAGGGTGCTTACTTAACCATCAGTCCACACTAAACATAACACCATAGTTAAGACCTTACCAGTCCTCCTTTAAAAAGACCTATTTAAATAAGCCTCCAGTTCCTTAATACAGTATGAAGCAGGCAAAAGGGGGGGGGGGACACACTCTCTAATGGCCAATTAGAGACAGTCACAAAACATTCCTGCCTGTGCCCTGAAAGGACCAGCTAATCCCTTACTGTAAACAAACTAATATACACACCTGTTCAATATCCAAGCTCTTTCCTCTTGAAGGTTACCCAAAGTCTCCTTTAAGAGTCTGCCTATAATCACAGATCCCTTTCTACAGTCCCCTCCCCTCCCTTCCCCTCCCAAGCTATCAGAAGAGACTGGAAAGATTCCACCAGCTTAAAATGTACTTTTAAAAATGTAGATGCTATTTTATCACTGTTCAAAGCAGACAAGAGATTAAAACCACAGAGGCCCCGGTCACACGGAGAATTTGCTGCGCGAAAGGCACGAATGCTGGGCAGATTTTTGGGGCACGATCACACCGCAACATCTGGGAAGCGTAGCACACCCATGGCCAACCCGTGGCGTGCCGCTGAAGATGCACAGTTAAAAAGTACCTGCAAAGATCTACTAGCAATGGTTTGCCACGGGCTGCAGATGGACTCGTTAGTTGTGATCGCACCGGCGCACACCTATTCCCTCCGGTCGTCTTCTTTTCAGCGCGCACTGAAGGATGAAACCCCGATGCACCACCATCGTGTCTGATCGAATAATGGTGGATCAGAATGCGATGGCGCAAATAGCCACGCCTCCCCTTCCATGTTTTCTGGCACGTGTGGCCGGGGCCACAATCATTCAACTTTAAAACACATGCCACAAACAGCCCACCAACAGTTTCAGAATTTCTCAAATGGCCCAGTTACCAAAATCCAGTCCCCCTGAATAGCCTAATTTGACAAAGTCTTCTGAAAAATAATTGCTTTATCTAGTTTCTAAAAACCAGAGTACCTGGGGGTTCTGCCTACCCTCACAGGCAACGGACAGTTCCATAGAGTTGGCCCTGCTATAGAGAAACCATGCAGTCTGGCCAAGGAGGACCACATTTCACTAAATAAAGGTACTACAAAAAGCACTACTCTGAGGGCCTCAGTGGGCACAGACCTTCCAGTTTTCATCCATCTGAAATGGAACCCACTCTCTTTGGCGAGTTTCACCTTGCAAGCATCTCAGTTCCGACTTCATGATTATTCAGCTCCTCGCAATAGGATCTCCTAAAAATACCCACACTCTGGAGACTGAAGTCCAAGCCTAGACAATATTGTACACTGTTGCAGATAGGGATTGCCCATGTGGCTTAGAGTGGTGGTGGGATTTTTTTTTTAATGCAGCCTCGCATACTTACTAGAAATTCTTACCAGAAGTGACAAAGGGTAGCCCTAGGAACTGCCGGTTTTACCAAGGAATAAAACCCCTAGAGCTACCCTTTGTCATTTCCAGTAAGATTTTCTGGGAAATACTTGAGACTGCATTTTTTAAAAAATAATCCCTCATTGCTGCAGCCCCCCACCCCCAACCTTCCAGAAAGGATGAGGCACAGGCAGCTACCTTTGGGGCCTTCCAGCAAGGCTGTAAGAGATAATTTTTTAAAAGAGCTTATAGGGAGCTTGAATGGACTCTGGCTGAGTTGTTTTAATGGTTTTAATTATCTGCTTTAGTTAAGTTGCTTTAATTACTTGCTTTTAACTATGTGTTTTAATTACTTTAATATCAACATTTTTCTAGTTTATTTATTGTTGTTACCTGCCTTGGGTCCTAGCTCTGTCTGTGTGTGTGTGTGATAAATGAATTTTTAAAATATCATCTATAGTCAGGCCTTACCTTTCGGACAGTAGTGATAGGTTCAGCCCGGACAGGAACACTGGCTTCAAAGATGTTGCGCTTGCTGGCCACACCCTTGGAGGGTGGTTGGAAGTTTCTCCGGGCAGATGGAGGCAATTTAATTGACCCCGCTCTCTAAGAACAAGAGGAGAGTCAGACAAAGGGGAAACAATCACACTGGTTTAAGAAAAGGACAAAGAATTTCCTCTTCCAACTGATATCCTGTCCCTTTCCTTGAAGAAAAATTTGGTCTCTTGTTGCTAATAACCAACTTCTTTCAGAAGCAATCAGATGCTTTCTTTTCCTTTCTCCCAGTGCTGCACTTTGGATATGCACATCCTTCCGTTTAAGTTTTGGTCTAAAGGTAAAACCCACTGAGCAGTGAGGGTGCGAGGGTGCCCATCATGGCAGGTAGCCTGGTAAGTCTACCCATCTTTTTGCAGCCCAGAGGGCTTCCAAAATGCTGCTCCTAAGGGACAGGGGACCCCCACAAACCGAGTGGATCTGCAGTGGTCAGAGGAATTCAGCAATTATCTGTTAGTGGAAATCTACTGTGTTTACACTTTGGTTTCTTAGTTGCAGGGAGTTTGAAAGTCTATGTAAGAAGATCAATCTTATGGCCTTTGTACACTAGACCTTGAGAAGGGGTGTTAGAAAAGGCAATGTCTGGTGTACAAAGAAGAGAAGAAGATGCTGCTGGGGGCAGCAAGAAGACAATTAGATGGGAGAGTGAAGTCAGCACCTTCTCTCCTGTTAAGTGACATTCCTTGTCTGTCTCCAGATTGTTACTCTCAGAAGTGCCACACTCAGTCTTACCCTCTCTTTCAGCTTGAGATGTCGTGAGGACCCTGTCTCCATCTCTCCTCTTTACTATCAAGTATATCAATTCCTAAATAAACCTTTACCTACTCTTTAATCACGTTGTGCACCATCGCTGTGTTAATTACTCTGCCAACAAATAAATTGTTCTCAGATCAGAGGAAGCTAAAAATGTTATTGATGGGAGTCAACCAAAGAATTACAGTCTCTGTTACCAAGTTTTTTAATGCCCCATATGTAAATGTTATGTTTTTACATTTTTAATTTGTGGTTATGGATCTGGATGGATATTGTAATTGGGATTTTTGTGGGTTATTAATCATTGATTGTTTTGAGTTTGTATGGCTTCTAGGCCTCAATAAAGACTACTACTACTATTACTACCGCCTGCCTCTGCATTCTAACACCTCATTATCTTGCATGTGAAACTGAAGTCTTAATAATCACGTGGCTCTGTTTAGAGCTGCATCACACATTGGAAGGCATGGTACAAACATGCCATGGGTCAGCCCCCCCTGCACATTTACCTGCACAGCAGATGTATACTTCTCCAGCTTCTCCCCAAATTTAGCTGTACTTGCTGGAAGCCTCATACTAGCACTATTGTAGCAGAGACAAAGAAGAGAAAATGAGAACAAGCTTCTCCCAAGTCTCATCAAAGCAATTACAATGCTGACATGCACCCTGAGTGAAAGCCTGACGGATTCTTATTATACTTCGGATAACTGCATTGTTGTCTGCTATAAAACTGCAAAGAAACTTTTTTTTATAAGTACCCGAGGGTACACTTTTATTATTTTTTTCCATTATATACTACAGACATACTGCAAAGAAACTTGTCCGGTGGAGAACCTGCAAAGGACTTGAAGGGGCATTTCACTTTCTCCTGTATCCCCCTCCCCACACTGCTATTTCTTTCCTTCCTGCTGGTAAGCTTTTCCTGCTTCCTTCTCTCCTTCCCCACCTACCCACCAACCTATCTTTTATCTGTCATTCCCCATCTTCAGCTATATTTATATATATTCATTTCATTTATACCCTGCCAGCATCCACAATAGGGAGCGAAAGGAGATTACACCATTCTCCTCCATTTTATCATCAAAACAACCCTATGAGGTAGAGTAGACTGAGAATGTGTAAATGGCCTATGGTCACCTAGTGAGCCTCCATGATGGAGTGGTGATTTGAATCTAGCCATTTCAGAGCCTATTCTGAAACTCTAACCACTACGCTACGCTGGCTCTTATGGGGTGGCTGCTGTTGAACAGTAGCAAGCAGCCAGTCCTGGGTGAGTAATACAAAGTCATGTGGTACCAAGTCACCCAGTGGTTGCTGTCAGGCCTGGCCCTCAAGAGTCCCTCCTTCAAAGGTTAAAACAGTCCTAAAAAGTGTCCTCCCTACTGCCTTTTACTGACAGAAACCAAGGCTTAAAGGCTAGCAGTACTGTTTTGGTTGCCTAGCAATCCCCACAATGGTCCCTGCAGCAACCAGTGGGATGACTGCGGACAGGGATATTGGGGGGGGGGATGACACTAGTTGCAGTGTCATATCACTTCTGGTAAAAAAAACAAAAACTCAGAAGTTATATGATGCCACAACCAGAAGTTTGCATAGGTAGCTCTAGGAATTGCCAGAAACTCTATGGTAACAGTCTTGTTTCCAGTGATTTCTAAAGCCACCAGGGATACAGCTGCTAAGATGTCATATTTAGGATGTAATTAATTGCAGATTCTGTCTCTGGTGGCCAGTGTGAGAACTTGAGCTGCTCCTCCAACCTTGATTGTTCTTGCTTTTGTAGAATGCACAGGGAAGTGCTCTACAACTTTGTCATTCTAGGACATTGTCACCTGCACATTAGGAAATAGTGCCCCCAACGTACAGGCGGTTATCAATTACTCCTTTGTGAAAACAGAAAATCACATGGGTCAGAAAACAACCTCATAATTAATTAATTTTACATTTTCCACTGAGTTTTCATTGCAGAATTTAGTGTCTCACTCTCTTAGAAAACTATGGCTATTTTCACATGGTTTATTTGCCCTAGGTTTGATGCTGTTGGGAAATTGGTTTTTTCCTGCTTCCCCAGAGCTTCGTGGTATAATTGTGCACCTCCTGTGGTTTTCCTGGTTTTTCTCTGACCCTTACCACAGCTGTTTTGCTGCATAGTTTTAGGAAAGACTGCAACACAGCCTGGATGGCTGCCAAGCGGATGGAAAGTTTAATTTTCCTGGTATTGCCTACATGGCAGCCATTTTCCTTGCTCCTCTTGCTGCAGCAACCATTTCCTCTCCCCTGCCACCAGGGGGCTTTTTAAAATCAGCAACTAAATATCAAGGAACCTTACACAGATTATCATTATGGTGTTATAATGATATAATGATATTCAACTGTTGATTTTAAAAAAACTGGGAAAATCCTGGTAATTCGGGTGGTGGTGGCTACTAGTGGGGATTGGGTTGGGAAACTGTGGGGAGACTGCCATGTCCAAGCCCTGTTGCCACTGCACTCTATAGACAATCACAGCAACAACAGAGAAAGGGTGGCTCGTGTGGAAAGCAACTGCATAAGGAATCATTAACATCAATTAAAGTGAGGGATCATATTGTCAACTATATGTATGTTACAGCCAACCACATCGAAAAGTAGCAGTTTAATTACATGCAAATTGTGCAAGGTTCCTAGCTCTATTTGGTACACTGGGGGCCAACAAAGGGATTTGGCATCATGCATGATGTCACTTCCACCTAGGGTTGTCAACTCCAGAGTTGGGGAATTCCTGGATATTTGGGGGAGGGGCCTCTTGGGGAGGGGAGGGCTTGGGAAGGAGAGGAATAATGGTATAATACCTCAGAATCCACCCTCCATAGCAACTATTTTCTTGACGATAACGGATTCTGTTGTCTGGTGTTCAGCTGGAATTCTAGATCTTCAGGCCCTATCTGGAGGTTGAGAACCCTTTTTCTGTCACATTGGGGTGCCACTCTTTTATTCACCCATTAACTCTGTGGTTAAACCATAGAGTTTGGGGCAAAACTTAGAGTGTCGTAGTGACAAGGTGATGTCATTCCTGGTTTCATACCAAAACTGATGTCCTGCATTGGTGCAAAACCAGATCTCCCCCTCATTTTCCTCCTGCCATTCTGTGAGTGGCAGCAGGAAACAAGAAGTCCAGGGGGGTAGACCTAGAATGCCTAATATTGTGTGGCCAAACTAATGTTTCAGTACACGTTGGAGTAATTTTTTTCACAAATCTTATTGCGGGCCTCACACAACAATCAGAAAACCAGTTAAATGCATGGCTAGGTTTAATATTTATTAAATACCTAGGGCTGGTTTTTGTTCTTACGAAGAAGGCCCGTGGTATTCATATCAGCTTCTTAAAACTACTGCAAAAGTAGTAGTTAGAGTATTGGACTAGGCTCTGGGAGATCCAAGATCTGTCATGAAGCTTGCTGAGCAACCATGGGCCCATCATTCTCTTTCAATCTACTTCACAGGATTGCTGTTAGCATAAAATGGGGAAGGCAATACTATGTATATGATCCTATGGTGGAATGTGGGATACAAATATATCAGACAGGTAGAAACTGCAATAGAATTCTTCAGCTAATTCCACAAATCCTGCTACCACAGAAACCTGAGGCAGTTTTAACCACCCTCATTGAGAAAAATCATGCAATGCTGTTATTTGCCCAAGCAATCTGCACACATAGCTCAGTACTACTTGAGTGTGTGAGGGAGCAACAATTGGTGTGCCAAAATTCACCCAAGGATTTCTAGAACCAAGAGAGTCTCCCAGCTGCTTTCATTGGAGAACCTCAACAATATTTATTTACATTATTTATAGTCTGCCTTTCTCACTTGGACTCAAGGCGGATTACACAGTGAGTCAATACAATCTACAGGATGGGACATTCCATAAACAATACAAAAGGATTAGGGATATAGAATCAATCAGAAATCTCAAAACAGAACTGAAGAAAAGAATAAATATGTAGACCCTAGTCCCTAATGATTTATACAAGCAATTTGTAAATCATTTAGTACAGCGCAATTTTATTGCCTGTGTAGAAAAACACATAGTTTCGCATAGTTGGCAGAGAGCCAGGAGAATGTGAGCCTTCACCTCCTCAGGCAGGCCATTCCAAAGAAGGCACGTGTATGGGCAGTTGTTGATTTTGCCCATTTGCTGGTTGGCACCTACAAAAGACCTTGCTCAGATGAGCAAAGCTGTCATGTTGGTGTATAGGGGAAGCGGCACACTTGCAGATAATATTGTCCAAGGCCCATAAAAGTGATCATCTAACAGATATAAGTATCCCAAGCTACAAGGAAAAATCTAAAACAAAAGTTAACTAAAATCTGCTGACCTTCTGCTTAGTGTATCTTGTTTGTCCTTTGGAGGGACCACCTAGAAACATAAGAAATGGAGATGAGAAATTAGGTTCTCTGTCAAAACAAAAGGTTGAAATGGGACTGAACTCTGGTCTGCCTCAGGGCCAAGCAGCTTTTAAAACTTCTGAAGAAATCTTATAGTTTCTTTGACCAGATAAACAAGATGGGCTTGGAACATGAGAAGGGAAGTTTCTATAGGAGCCACCAAGCTGGGAAGGGGGTTCACTACACATGGCCCCCTCATCTCAGGGCAGGTTCATATGTGCTGATGTTTCAGAAGAGAATATGGGTAATAGGTTCAGGGTGGACAAAAGGAAGTATTCTTCACTCAGTAAGTAATTGTGGACTTCACAGACCATTGCCAGCTCCCCACTGGATGCAGGGATCCCCAGGCCCTGCCCCCGGCCGCCAATCAGCTGGCCAGCGGGGAGACTTAACCAGGAGCATGAGGAAAGCTGGCAACATGGCAACTTCAGTTCCGATCATCACACTGGCAATGCCCAGGTGATACTCTGGTATTTGGGCAAAAACTCTATGGCAGAACCCATTTTTAACATAGAATTTTTGCCCAAATGATAGAGCATCACTGGGATGTTCCAGCATGATGATGTCACTTCTGGTACATGACAGAAGTGACCTCCCAACATTCCCTCCCACTGCTGGTAGGTCCTCCCATCCCCCACTGGTTGCCAAGAGGGACCTGGCAATCCTAAATTCACGGCCAGAAGATGTAGCAATGGCCACAAGCACAGATGATTTTAAAAGGGGATTATACAGATTCATGGAGCATAGGTCCATCAGTGACCACACACCCTAGTGACTAAAGGGAACCTCTAATCAAATGAAGGGAGCTTGGACAAGAGTCTTATACCCAGGACCCTAGTGACTAAAGGGAACCTCTAATCAGATGAAGGGAGCTTGGACTCTTGGAAGCTTATACCCAGGAAATCCTGTTTGTCTTTAAGGTGCTACTGGAATTGAATCTTGCTCTGCTACATTCAGAGGCAGTAAACCTCTGAATATCAGGGCTAGAAGGCAACATCCAGGGAAGTCCTTGGCCTCTATGCCCTATTTTTTGGCCCTCCACAACAAAAGGTTGGTTGTTGCATGAAACTGGATGCTGGACTATATGGACTAAATTGAACAGGGTTCTTTTCTGTATTTATGGTAAAACTTTTGCTCAGACATCATATTATCATAGATCATCTTCCTTCCTGGATGTTTTCCAGGACTTGGTGAGCCATATATTCTGGAAACATACTAAAACAAGGCCAAAAGGACAAAATGCACTCTTGAAAAATGAGGTGTTCACCACTTAGACAATAGCTGTGTGAATCAGCCCTGAGCTCATAAATAATATAAAAATTCTAGAAGTCACCTGGAGATCCATTTCTTACTATCATGGCTTCCACTGTTTACTGCTGATGCAGTGCATCATAATACTGTAATGGACTTTTTGTTAGCTAATTTGAAAGAAGCTTAAAAAGGGCTGAATTAAGCACAGGGAGTGATGCAAGATGGAGGGAATCTCTGTTTGTCCAACAAGAAAGTGATTTTCCTTTCTAAGTTAGGCATCATTCCATACCTTGCTAATTCATGCTTACCCGGAAGGAGATTGTCCTTGGACTGATTCGTTTGAATGAGCTACTGTAGGTAACCAAAGGATGAGAAACTGAAGAGGAGACCTCCGATCCATTTTCACTATCAGCTTCATCAATTTTAGGAATACTTCTTTCTGTTCCCTGGGAAACACACATGAATCAAGGAAAGGGAGATATAAGAGGCTGTGGTGGCTGCACAGAATCAGGTGAATTGGACATGTCTAGATCCAACAGACTGCCTAAACTGATAGGCACTGACTGGTCATTATACCTTCTGGAATTACTGCAGGAGACAGGGAACCAATCAGCTGAGGAATAATTTAGGAGACTTATTTAAGGAAGCAATCAATCACAGCCATGTTGGTGATGTTCCCTGAAGTTTCATTAAATCCCAGATAACTATTTCAAATCCAGTTGCAGGAAGGCAAAACAAACACTTATTAAAATTTAGGATTATGCAATGGTAATTCACACATGCCAATATCCACTGACTCTGGGTGGGAGTAGTCCTTCAAATGCACCGAGTGTTCCTCAGACCATATCTGAGCCACTCAGCCATCCTTGCTAAATCCAGCTCAGATGTCATTACTAATTGCCTTTTGCAAAGCTGCCAGCTTTGGGAACAGATGTGAGTCATGACAGCTCCATCAGTCCATACCACCTCTAACTGGCCTTCACACCCATCACTTTTCACTCCTCAGCTCCATCAGTCCATACCACCTCTAACTTCACACCCATCACTTTTCACTCCCGTGGCTTCCATTTTTCTCCTCTACAAGTATCAAGACCTAATCACCTGTGGGACAGAGGCAGGTGGAGGTGAAGCTGCTTCTGTGCTATTTCTTACTCTTGAGTTAATCTTCACTTCAAGTCGACTGATGCTCTTACGTTCCCAAGCAGTACGCTGAGGTTTTTGCACTGTCTCCTCATTCTGGATTGCAGGTGCCCTCTGGGACTCATGTGCATTCTGAACCTTCTGTTCCTCATCCAATTGCTGATCCTTAGACAGTTTGGGGGGTTTCTCTTTCTGCTCCAAGCTTTCATGCTTTCCCACTACTGGTTCCCTCTTTATCAGACGCAAGTTTTGAGGTTTTTCTTCTATGGGGGTTTTCTGCTGACTCAGGTCCTGGCATTTCTCTGGTTTTGGATCTTTCTGTTCCTGAATTGATCCTGAAAGAGTCTCTGCTTTCTCTTTATCAGCTTCCAACTTCCTGGCATTCACTGTCTCTTTCTTTTCTTGTTTCACATTATTTATGGTCTCTGCTTTCCACCTTGTCCTTCTATTGTCCTGCTTATTTAGTTTCTCTACCAGTTTTCTCTCATTCTCCAGTATGGCGTTTCCCACTTTTGATGGCTTTACCTCTGAGGAATTATGGGACCTACAACAACAACAAAAAAGAAAGGAAGGTATCACAACCTTAGATGCAACACTGGGGGACACAACAGGTATGATGTCGAGACAAATCCATTATTGTCAAAATGTGCATGAGAATGTGAATTATGCTATGTAGGTAGAGAACTTCTAAACCAGGTAGGAAGGATTACACGTATCGTTCAAGGACATATTGGAGAGTTTGTTCCAAATGTCCTGGTATATTTTGGAAACTAGGGGATGTATTTTTAAGAGGAAAGGCTTTTCAATGGATAGGGACACTGTCATGCCCAGCACCTAGAAGCCGCAAGCAAGCATCCAGGAGGTAAGACTGAGAGTGCAGAACTAACATCTGGGGCAATTCTCCCCATCTCTCACCCATAGCTCCTGACAGTCCCAGGTTCTTGATGTTCCAGCCAACCTCAAGAGATGTTAGAGCATACGTTTAAAAAATTGAAAAATGCATCTCAGCAATTGGCTTAAAATTAAAAACACATAGAATGGATAGCCTGGCTAGGCCAGGTTAACAAGAGCAACTCAAAACTCAAGCAAAAATAAAATGAAGCTGGAAGACTGAGCAATTAATCCCCACCACCACCGTCTCTCTGCTTCCAGTCAGACACGCTCAGATCCACTACTTATGTAGTATATTAAGATGTATTTTAATTCTGACTGTGGGCAGCAGTTTGGCTGGAAAACAGGATATACATACATACAGTAAATGAAATTTAATAGATTGATAAATAATTTAAACCACATATCTTTATATTATAATTAATATATGACCATACAAATTTGGCCTTTATATCAGATGCTTTGAGTACAAACCCAGTCCATGCTCTGCCCACCCTTTTCTCACTCACAACTCTCTACGCATGGAGGGGGTGTGTGTGAATGGAAGGAGAATCTCATATGTGAAATAACAAGAGAAACGAAATGATGGATCTGGTGGAAGACTGCATCATTCCTACCTCTCAGTTTCCACTTCTTAATAATAGCAGCTAATCAAGGATGTGTTTCTTTTGCAAGTCAGTGGAGAAATAAAGTGTGATTTATACAGCATCCATTATCCGCCACATGAACCTCCATGTTTTTTCATTGAGATTTGTGAGGTTTGTGGGAGGGTTCATGCAAGCTCCGAAGGCATTTAAATACCTTCGGAGTTTACTTCCATGTCTGGCGGCCCAACCAGAAGTGAGGTCTGAAGGCATTTAATTGCCATCAGAGCCCACCACTGGCCCATGGGCCAACCCAAGTGAGCTTCGAAGGCATTTAAATGCCTTCGAGGATCACTTCCAGGTGGGGCCACAGCTTGAGTGAGCTCTGAAGGAGAAGGAGAAGAGGAGGGGGAGGAGGAGGAGATTGGATTTATACCCCACTCTTCACTCGAAGTCTCAGAGTGGCTTACAAACTCCTTTCTCTTCCCCTCCCCACAACAGACACCCTGTGAAGTAGGTGGAGTTGAGAGAGCTCTGAAACTGCTCTTTTTCAAGAACATCTCTGACAGAACTATGGCTTGCCCTAGGTCATCTAGCAGCTGCGAGTGGAGGAGTGGGGAAATCAAACCCGGTTTTCCCAGATTAGAGTCCATGCACTTAACCACTACACCAAACTGGCTCTCAGTCTTCAATGTCTTCAAGCCCACTTCCAGGACATGCCGCAGGCATGCCCCCAAACAGAAGTGAGCTCCAAAGGCATTTAAATGCCTTTGTAGCTCACTTCCAAGTGGGACTGTAGCCCCATGAACTTCCTGAAGCACGAACCAGTTCGTGCAATGGAGAAGTTCATGGATGTTCAGAGTTTGGGGTTCATGAAAACCCTGAAACACAAACCTCCGGTTCATGCTCACCCCAGTAAGCACTTAAGAACATAAGTACAAGCTGTGGCGTATCTAGCCTATTTGGCGCATGGGGTGGATAATTGTTTTTAACACCTCTCTCCTCTATTTTTATTTCAGGTCTCAATTTGGTCCAGGAGGATTCAGTCCAGGAGTATGCAAAGAATAAATGGAAATAATTCTGACATTAAAAATCACAACATTTAAAAAACAGTGGGGGAACATTTTAACCTTCCAGGACATTCAGTTGTTGACCTAAAAGTAGCAGTTCTCTTACAAATGAATTTCAAAGGGAGATTAGAGAGAGAGACTACTGAACTGCAACTGATAACAAAGCTCAAGACAATGCATCCTCTTGGACTGAACCCTAACCCTAAAAGAACCCAGAAGTGACATCATCAAAAAGAACTTGGAAGTGACACCATCACATTGGCAACATTGCAGAGGACACTCGAGTTTGAGGGCAAAAATCTATGGTAAATATGCCCTTAAACCAGAGCATCGCTGCGTGCGGATGTCACTTCTGGGTGATGTCACTGCATCAAGGATGTCGCACAATGTTGGCCCCCTCCAGGAAGGCCCCCGAATCCCCCCACTGTCGACAAGGTAGGACCTGGCAACCCTACTTTCTTTTAATATGCATGTGTGCGTGATCAGGTCTCAAAGTAAAAAGCAGAGCAGGGCAATCTCGATGTAAATTCTGCTTCTCAGAAGAATTCCCCTCCCTCCTCCCCTCTGAAGAAGTGTGGGTGCACAGGAAAGCTTATACCTTGAATAAAACTTTGTTGGCCTTAAAGGTGCCACTGGACTCGAACTTTGTTCTCTCTCTGGCAATTACTATAGCAACTATCAATATGATCTGTTAAGGCAGTCTGCTTGAGTCTTGGAGAAAGCCAGGGAAGCTTAGTTGATCCTAGAGATTTTTGCTATGCTTAGACTTCCAGTTTGGTGTAGTGGTTAAGTGTGCGGACTCTAATCTTGGAGAACCGGGTTTGATTCCCCACTCCTCCACTTGCACCTGCTGATGTGACCTTGGGTCAGTCACAAGCTCTGGCACAGCTGTCCTTGAAAAAGAGCAGTTTGTGTCAGAGTTCTCTCAGCCCCACCCACCTCACAGGGTGTCTGTTGTGGGGAGGGGGAGGGATAGGAGTTTGTAAGCCGCTCTGAGACTCCAAGTGAAGGGCGGGGTATAAATCCAATCTCTTCTTCTCTTCTTCTTCTTCTTCCCTGTATCCTTAGTGGCTGCAGCCAGAACTGCATCTTAAAAATAAAACGGAAAATGTTCTGCAGGAGGCAGCAGGACAACACTGCCTTTGAAGGCCCCCTTCAAAGGTCTTCCTTAAGCTGCACCCGGGACAGACTGCACCCCCTTACCCCCTTGGTATGCCACTGAGTACAAGTGCCTGATAATAGTGCTTCACTCTGGCATTCAAGCATCGTCCATACACAGTACTGCCTTCAGCTGTAAGACAGGTTAAGACTGATAGCAATTGACCCAGAATCATTCAGTCAACTATATGCACAGCTGAGGACGGGGTTTGAACTGGAGTTTCCTAGTCCAGCACTACACCACACTTTACTGCCACCACGCAATTTGTATGTACACAGTTTCTGTTTAGGCCTTCAGATCAACATGTGGAGGATAGGTGCTATCCCACTTCCCCTTCCACTTTCTGGTTGTCTAGCTTTACCTACTCACATACATCACCCTAAATCCCGAACTTAATCCACAGAAGTAAACAGAAATGTACCACCAGGATTCAAAACCAATGCAATTTGAGCCAGGCTCTGTGACAGCTAGAAACCATTTCAACCTGCACTGCCAAGCAGAGTCTCTCTTATGCTCCTGGCACTGTTATTTCTAGAACAGAGCATTTCCCCATGCCACTTGTAAGCATGCGTGCACACATACCTATTTCGTACTTGACAGGTGACCTTTTGCTCTGCACTGAGGGTTTCCTGCTTGGCATCAGAGCTGGAACTCAACTGTCGGTGTCTTCGCCGGCGCTCCCTTTCCTGTTCTTCCTCATCTTCTGCACTCCATTGTTGGGCCAGGCTGAAGAGAAAAGCATGAGAGAAGGAGAACCATATTTTAGTCAAAAGCTATGTCAGGAATAAACAAGGCCAGAAGATTAGGATGCTTTCCCCACAATTTCCCCCTTCCTTACTTAGCTGCCCGCCTTATGTTAAGATAATGTAAACAAAACTTCCCCCCTCATGGATCACTGCCTTGTCGTGGCGAGGGGGCTTGCGTGGTTCGATGAGGCTGTGGGCTATGCCGTGGAGGGCCACCCAAGACGGACAGGCCACAGCAGAGAACTCAGACCAAGCGTGATCCCCTGGAGAAGGAAATGGCAACCCACTCCAGTATTTTTGCCAAGAAAACCCCATGGACAGTATCAAAAGGCTAAAAGATATGACGCCGGAAGATGAGCCCCTCAGGTCGGAAGGTGTCCAATATGCTACTGAGGAAGAGCAGAGGACAAGTACAAGTAACCCCAGAAAGAGTGAAGCGGCTGGGCCAAAGCCGAAAGGACCCTCAGTTGTGGATGTGTCTGATGGTGAAAGGAAAGTCCAATGCTGCAAAGAACAATACTACATAGGAACCTGGAATGTAAGATCTATGAATCAAGGTAAGCTTGACGTGGTCAAAAATGAGATGGCAAGACTGAACATCGATATCCTAGGAATCAGTGAACTAAAGTGGACAGGAATGGGCGAATTTAACTCAGAAGACCATTATATCTACTACTGTGGCCAGGAATCTCGTAGAAAAAATGGTGTGGCCTTTATAGTCAACAAGAGAGTGCAAAAGGCAGTACTGGGATACAATCTCAAAAATGACAGAATGATTTCTGTCCGATTCCAAGGCAAACCATTCAACATCACAGTAATTCAAGTGTATGCCCCAACCACTGATGCAGAAGAGGCTGAAGTGGACCGGTTCTATGAAGACCTACAACACCTCCTAGAACTAACACCAAAAAATGATGTCCTCATCATCATAGGGGACTGGAATGCTAAAGTAGGAAGTCAAAAGGTAACTGGAATAACAGACAAGTTTGGCCTTGGAAAGCAAAATGAAGCAGGGCAAAGGTTAACAGAGTTTTGTCAAGAGAACACACTGGTCATAGCGAACACCCTTTTCCAACAACCTAAGAGGCGACTCTACACATGGACATCACCAGATGGGCAACACCGAAATCAGATTGACTATATAATTTGCAGTCAAAGATGGAGAAGCTCTATCCAGTCAGTAAAAACAAGACCTGGAGCTGACTGTGGTTCAGATCATGAGCTACTCATTGCAAAATTCAGACTTAAACTGAAGAAAATTGGGAAAACCACGAGGCCATTCAGGTTTGACCTAGATCGCATCCCTGATGAATATACAGTAGAGGTGAAGAATAGATTCAAGGGTCTGGATTTGATAGATAGAGTGCCTGAAGAACTATGGACAGAGGTTCGTGACATCGTACAGGAGGCAGCAATCACCACCATCCCAAAGAAAAAGAAATGTAAGAAAGCAAAGTGGCTTTCTGATGAGGCTTTACAAATAGCAGAGGAAAGAAGGAAAGCGAAAGGCAAAGGCGAAAAGGAAAGATTTACCCAACTGAACGCAGATTTCCAGAGAACAGCAAGGAGAGATAAGGAGGCCTTCCTGAATGAACAGTGCAAAGTAATAGAAGAAAACAATAGAATGGGAAGGACTAGAGATCTCTTCAAGAAAATTGGAGAAATCAAGGGAGCGTTCCATGCAAAGCTGGCCATGATAAAGGACAAAAACGGTAGGGACCTAACAGAAGCAGAAGAGATTAGGAAAAGATGGCAAGAATACACAGAAGAACTATACAAGAAAGACCTCGATGTCCTTGACAACCACGACGGTATAATCACTGACCTCGAGCCAGACATCCTGGAATGTGAAGTTAAATGGGCCTTAGAAAGCATTACTAACAACAAAGCTAGTGGAGGTGATGGTATTCCAGCTGAGCTATTCAAAGTCTTAGAAGATGATGCTGTTAAAGTTCTGCACTCCATTTGCCAGCAAATTTGGAAAACGCAACAGTGGCCACAGGATTGGAAAAGGTCAGTATACATTCCAATCCCAAAGAAGGGCAATGCCAAGGAATGTTCAAACTATCGCACAATTGCACTCATATCACACGCTAGCAAGGTCATGCTCAAGATCCTACAAGCTAGGCTTCAACAGTACGTGGATAGAGAACTACCAGAAGTACAAGCTGGGTTTCGAAGAGGTAGAGGAACTAGAGATCAAATTGCCAACATTCGCTGGATTATGGAGAAAGCAAGAGAGTACCAGAAAAATATCTACTTCTGCTTCATTGACTATGCTAAAGCTTTTGACTGTGTGGATCACAACAAACTATGGCAGGTCCTTAAAGAGATGGGAGTACCAGACCACCTCACATGTCTCTTGAGAAACCTGTATAAGGGCCAAGAAGCGACAGTTAGAACCGGATATGGAACAACTGATTGGTTCAGCATAGGAAAAGGAGTACGACAAGGATGTATATTGTCACCTTGCTTATTTAATATATATGCAGAGTACATCATGCGAAATGCTGGCCTGGATGAATCACAAGCGGGAATTAAGATTGCTGGGGAAAAGATCAACAACCTCAGATATGCAGACGATACCACTCTAATGGCAGAAAGTGAAGAGGACCTAAAGAGCCTCTTGCTCAGGGTAAAAGAGGAGAGCGCAAAAGTGGGCTTGAAGCTCAACATCAAAAAAACTAAGATCATGGCATCCGGCCCCATCACTCCTTGGCAAATAGAAGGGGAAGCTGTGGAAGTAGTGACAGACTTCACGTTCCTGGGATCCCAGATCACCGCAGACTGTGACTGCAGCCATGAAATTAAAAGACGCCTGCTCCTTGGGAGGAAAGCGATGGCGAACCTAAACAGCATGATAAAAAGTAGAGACATCACCCTGCCAACAAAAATACGCATGGTCCAAGCAATGGTATTCCCAGTAGTCATGTATGGCTGTGAGAGTTGGACTATAAGGAAGGCCGAGCGCCGAAGAATAGATTCTTTTGAACTATGGTGCTGGAGGAGACTCTTGAGAGTCCCTTGGACTGCAAGAAGATCAAATCAGTCAATTCTAAAAGAAATCAACCCTGACTGTTTCCTGGAAGGCCAGATAATGAAACTGAAGCTCAAATACTTTGGCCACCAAATGAGAAGGGAGCACTCACTGGAGAAGACCCTGATGCTGGGAAAGATTGAAGGTCAAAGAAGACGGGGACGGCAAAGGATGAGATGGTTAGACAGTGTCATAGACGCAACAAACATGAAATTGAGCAAACTTCAGAGGACAGCGGAAGACAGGAGGGCCTGGCGTGATCTGGTCCATGGGGTCGCGAGGAGTCAGACTCGACTGTGCAACTGAACAACAAACAAAACGTCATAAAACATTGCAGATGTCTCTTATTTCAACAAACATCTCAGCTTCACCCACAAAATGTCTAAAAATAGGTATTGTACTTTCAAGAGGCATCTTATGTTTCCTTTTCCATCATAGCAGCCCTAACTCCAGATAAGGTTTTACAACGAGAAGTTTATCAAAATGTAGAGTTCTGGTGGCTAGGGGAAGGGAGGCTGAAGGCAGATTACAAAGTTTAAGTCAATACAATCAATAGGATGAAATATCTAATAAGCAATATAATAGCACTAGGATCGCAGAAATCTGAAACAAACATTGCACATGTTAGCATGGAAATGAAATGTCTACAGATTTTGAAATTTGATCTGAAAGTTGTCCATTACCACGTTTACCCTACCCATTATTTCTGCTTTAGCTATCCTCTGTTACTTCAGGAACATTTTCAGTCCTACCACTTTGCTCATCTTCATTTCTGCCTGGCTGCTCCAATCTTCTGCTTTGATGCCTAGAGGCCCATGCCAAAATCCCCTTGTGGCTACTGTAGTCCAATAAACTAAGCCCTATTTTAGTTACTGAAGGTACAATTTAGAGACATTCCGCTACGTTCTACAGTATTAAGGAACCAGTAATTTCTGGACTGCCCCTAAAATCACCTGGCCTTAGTTTGTTTTAGAGCAAGGCTTAGAGACAACTGTGCAAGATTATTTAGTTGTTGTTCATATAAGACTTATTTTAAGCCATTCCACATTCTGGTAGTCTCATCTGTGGACCAAGAAATACTATTAAAGGAATTAATTGAATAGGACATGCAATCCACTGGCCGTTAAGGTCAGTCACTATAATATGTTGTGCCGACTGGCTTTCGAGCAAGGGAACCTTTACCTTTACTTTAATTTCTGGACTGCCCCTAAAATCACCTGGCCTTAGTTTGTTTTAGAGCAAGGCTTAGAGACAACTGTGCAAGATTATTTAGTTGTTGTTCATATAAGACTTATTTTAAGCCATTCCACATTCTGGTAGTCTCATCTGTGGACCAAGAAATATTACACCAATAATACTATTAAAGGAATTCATTGAATAGGACATGCAATCCACTGGCCATTAAGGTCAGTCACTATGATATGTTGTGCTTCTGGGTGCCTTTTAAAAATTTGTGGAGCTGCTATTTGTGGGCCTTCATTAGGTCTCTAGAACTTGAATCTTTTTTGGAGACAGGGATGAATGGGGGATGAAGAGATACATCTTGATTGAAATACTCAAGTATGTAAATGTGTATATACAAACTCTAAGAAGTAGTCTCCCATTTCACACACTGCAGCTTACTAAGCTTATAGCATGTCCTAACAAGACAACTGTATTTTTCCAACATGTCTTTAATCCAAAGAACAAACACATAATTCATATTTAAACCAGCACAGTATTGGCTATTGAATACAGTTAGAAATGAATATTCATGAATACACAGGGGACAAAAAGAGCTATTAGTAATGTAGAAAGTGGAAAGTGATTGAGGTAATGATCATATGGGTACAGATAAGGGCACTGCAACAAGCACAATCACCCCCATTTTTATCCATAACACATTGGAGAGTTTGAAAGTACAGCCAATAATTATACAGAATATTCTTGCATCTCCAGTTTGC